AAAGAAAGGGAGGGGGGATCACAGCACTGTCACAGAAGTTTATTTTCATACGTCAACTCATTGACCAATAAGTAAAGAGTTTATTTAAAACTGTGCGGGTTGCTCTGAGGAAGAAATGAAGGTACAAGCAACATGTTATGAATTTTTAACTATAATTTTTATTTTCTTCGAAAATTCATTCTCACCGAAAGCGGCTTTAAAGTCGTGTACTTCAAGATTAGGCTCGAGCAGACTGTGAGAGAGATGATTTATTTTATAAGTTTTTCAGCTTTGGTGATCTTTTCGTTGCCACAATCACGTGGGCAAGATTTTACTCTCACCCGGGAAAATGTGAACGCACTTCAAAAACTTGAGGAGCGGTTACTGCCCGCGCTAGATGAATTCATTACCAACAAAGAGGAGAATTTGAAAGAACTCGAAAGGATGATCAGTCAAACGGAAACTGTTAAGACACTGTCTAGTGAAAGTATTGAAAGTTACCTAGGGACACCGTTAAATCAATACTTCACTATCAAGAGGTTTATCGACGATTGGGGAACTCTTACAGAACTTATGGACTCGGATAGTTCCAACAAAAGTGAGTTCGTTAGCGTTTTCAGAAATACTTGTAACGCCCGAAAAAACTATCACAAGTTGTTTAAAGCAGGTTTTACCTGAATTTAAGTGACATTTTAGGAAGTTTAAAGAGGAATTAAAGCGAAAAAAAAAGGTTATGGAACACTGGATGAGCAAAATTTCGAGTTTTTTTAAGATTAATTTCGGAAGATTCAACCGTTGTGTTGCATCGGTGAGAAATTGCAAGCCCCTTTGCAGCGCAAAGATTGCAGAGCTTTATAATGATAAGCTTGCAAACCATAGAAAACGCATTCGTGAGAAAAGTTTAGAAGCCTGATCTGATTGGTCGAGAAAATACTCCTTCTCCACCCAACCCAGGATGGACGATGCTCACTGTTTTGCTTTGATATTCCAGATCTACTCTCCCAAATAAGGAAAGAGGAGAATGTGCTCCCAGGCCAGGCCGAGCTCAACAATGCATTATGGGACCTGGAGAAATCAAGTGGCATTGATCCAGAGGGTTATCGGGTATTTTTATGACGAACAATGTAACATTGATTG